CGCCGACGCTGAACAGGCCCCTCCCGCTCCCGTTCCAGCGGCGGCGCCCGCCACATCCAACGGCCCCGCGCGTGCCGACCGCTCCTCCTACGTCCCTCCCCACCTCCGCAACCGCTCCTCCTCCACTGCGCCTCCGGTGTCCTCCGCTCCACCCCCGCGCGCCGCGCCCGGCCTCCTCGGCCGCCCCACTAGCGGCGTCGGTGGGAGGTTCGGGGGAGGCGGGGCCCCACCTCGTAGGTGGGACCGGGAGCCCAACCCTTTCGGGGACGAGGAGGAGGTGCCGGCGGAGCCCGTGCCCTTCGACGAGCACCAGAACACGGGGATCAACTTTGAAGCGTACGAGGACATCCCCGTCGAGACCAGCGGCCGGGATGTTCCGCCCGCCGTGGGCACGTTCGCGGAGATCGACCTCGGCGCCGCGCTGAACGACAACATTCGCCGGTGCAAGTACGTGCGGCCCACGCCCGTGCAGCGCCATGCCATCCCGATCTCGCTGGCTGGGCGAGATCTCATGGCTTGCGCGCAGACTGGATCGGGGAAAACGGCCGCCTTCTGCTTCCCCATCATCAGCGGCATCATGCGGGGCCCGCCCGTGCAGCGGTCCCAGCGGGGCGGGAGTAGGACCGCCTGCCCTCTTGCCCTCATCCTGTCGCCCACAAGAGAGCTGTCAATGCAGGTGATGGTCGTGTATATATCTTGTTTGACGTTTGATATTACGCCCAGTTAATCTCCTGCGCCATGTGCGTGATAGTTGTTTCGTTGTGCTTGCCTTGTGCTGCAGATTCACGAAGAGGCCAGAAAATTTTCATATCAGACTGGTGTCAGGGTAGTGGTTGCATATGGCGGGGCCCCTATTACCCAGCAGGTCAGGTTCTGTCTGTCGTTGGCCCTAATAGCTCAAGTTCTGAAAATTGTCTGTTTCTTATAAAATTTCTGCCCTGAAACTCATTTCAGTATGAGTGTAGTATATGCATGGTAGGATATGCAGTCAGTTCTTCACAGAGGCTATGCAAGTCCTCTGATGTTAATGGTCTCTGTGGAATTGCTGGGTGCATGCATTGCATATGGTTACAGTTAATTTTGCTGCAATGCAAAGGTGATTCCCATAAACTGATAAAATTGTTAGGTATGTTTATAATTTGTTCATACTGTATCCAACAATTTTGTGTTAGCAAATAACAACTGAACATGTGCCTGCATCCTTCGTTGCTGAGCGCATTACACAGTACGTCCTTTGGCAGGTCTATTTGTATATTTAGAAAGACATGGTCCTTTATTCTGTGTAAGTTTGCGGTTTAGTGCTTGATCGTATGGTTTTGAAATGTAATTCTTTCTTTGTCCAAAATCTGTTTTCTTTCTGTAGCAACATGCCTCCTGTTATGTTCATTAGTTCCGGCACTGAGTTATCTTTCTATCTTTTTGTTCACCATCCTGATCATAAGTCTGTTACCTACCTGATTATGGGTTGTTTTGTCTATATCCCATTGTTCCCCATAGTTTTGTCAGACTTTGTCTTAGATGGCACAGGTGCTGCTTGTCTGCTGTATTACCTTTTGTTGTTGCCACAAAGTTCTCTCCGCATTACTGAGTGAAACAACGTTGGGAAAATGGCTTTCTGTGAAGGATGATGCTGATAGTTTAATTCACAACATCACTCATGATAACAGTGGCCCTGGATCTTGTGATTCATGCACCACAAAGTCTTCTCAAAGTAGACGTTGAAGAATTGGACTTGTCAATCTGGGTGAGTTTTCAAGTGTGGCGATGAGGTGCTAGGCATCCTTTGGTAACACATGATCCCTCTGTTGTGTTATATAGCTAGTTAACGTGGCGGCATATTTGCTTCCGTATACTTGGCAGTAATCTTAGTTACTTTAATTTCTATTGTACCATAAACACGATTTTCATTATTTTCCAGTTGAGAGATCTTGAGAGGGGTGTTGACATTCTTGTGGCTACTCCTGGTCGTTTGGTTGATTTACTGGAAAGGGCAAGAGTATCCTTACAGTCAATTAGATACCTTGCCCTTGATGAGGCGGATAGAATGCTGGATATGGGGTTTGAGCCGCAAGTTAGGAGAATTGTTGAGCAAATGGACATGCCTCCACGAGGTGTAAGGCAGACGTTATTGTTCAGCGCTACATTCCCGGGAGAAATACAGGTTAGCTTTTTATTCCACATTTTTACAGTTATATTGATGATATATAAATATTTCAAGAAGCATCTCCACTCTATTTAAATGATTGGTTCTTGCTATTAAATCTGAGCCCTTGATTATACTTTCCGTATTTATTGTTGCTATGTTAATATGTTTCCCCCTATTGATATATATGATATATTTGTCTGATGCTTTACTCTTTAGGTACTATGGCATCTTTTCCATGAATAGTGTTAACCTTAGATCTATGCTGGATGAGCTTAGGGAAAGTAGTTAGATTTACATGCCATGTGTTGTTAATGTACTATATGAACATCGAAAAACCAATATTGTACTCCCTCCGTCCCTAAATTCTTGTCTTAGATTTGCCTAGATACGGATGTATCTAATACTAAAACGTGACTTGATACATCCGTATTTAGACAAATCTAAGACAAGAATTTTGGGACGGAGGGAGTATTAAATTAGAGAAAATCTTCCGCTTGTAGTCCAACAGCAACAATGATTGTCATATGCCTATATGTTACTACGTGCACCGGAGATCCTTTTATGCAGTATCGGTAGCATCATATAAATCTCATTCTGTGTCAGCACTTGGCACTAGGGTGTTCTATTTCTATATGTGTGAACGGAAATTAGTAACATGCACATGCTCCCTGAAGAGAAAGTTATGCCAACTGCATGAATATATTTACATATTTCAGGAATGTCTGTTCAAAAGATGCTGAACTGTGAAAGTATTGGTAGATATCAGCGTCATATTTTTTTATGGGAGAAGTTTTATGTGTATGACAGGCTATAAGTTTGTTCTTATATTTTTTTTCGGTTGAATTATCTTTTCCTGACTGCATTTTGCCCCCACCTTACTGAAGTATCTTTTCCTGACTAATCTGGCATTGATGTAACTAGGCAAGTTGTGTCCTGGTGCTGACTTATTTGAGTTTTCCAATTGGGTTTGTTGTGCTATGCTGAATACCTTTGTCATGTCGGATGATTTCTAATTATTTGTCATGTCAAAAGTTTTTAGTTTGCATTCTTAATGACATTGAGGCTATTCTTAATGAACACAGAGAATGGCATCTGACTTTCTGGAGAACTACATATTCCTGGCTGTTGGAAGGGTCGGATCAAGTACTGAGTTGATTGCCCAGAGAGTTGAGTTTGTACAGGAGGCAGATAAAAGAAGTCACTTGATGGATCTGCTCCATGCGCAAAGAGACAGTTCAGAACAAGGGAAGGTAATATTTTGACTGTCCGTTATTTTTATTATTCAATCACTTAACCTGATGTTTTGTTGTTCTTTAGTTTCTCTTAATATCAGTTGTGGAAGTACTATGGAGGTGCTCCCAACTAGAGAAAGCAGATCTTTATTCCTAGTGCTCATTTTTCTCCTGTCCTTTGCTGCAGCAAGCTCTCACACTTGTCTTTGTGGAGACCAAAAGGGGTGCCGACTCACTGGAGAACTGGTTGTGTACGAATGGATTTCCAGCGACTTCTATTCATGGTGATAGAAACCAGCAGGTTTAATCTTTATTTTTCCTTCAGAACCTCCCATTTTTGCTTGGAGCATATTTATTTCTGTTTGTTCACTGGAATGATGTAATACTCGGTCAGTTGCTGCCATCAAATAAATATTGCCAATTTACTGTTCTGTTTGGTTTGTTTGGCAGACTATTGTAGTTTTTGTACTTTCAGCTATTGCTATCACACAGCAGATACTTATTTACTGATTTGCTCCAAAATTCCTGTAGTCTTGAATCTTGTTACTTGTTGATAAATATTGGACATTTGTTCTTATGAAACTAAAGATGTTTGTCTTATCAGGGCTGTTTTTTCCTGACATATTGATGTACCGATTCTTACAGGAAAGAGAATATGCTTTGAGATCCTTCAAGAGTGGTCAAACTCCAATTCTAGTTGCAACTGATGTGGCAGCCCGGGGCCTCGACATTCCTCATGTTGCTCATGTTGTGAACTTTGATCTCCCCAATGATATTGATGACTACGTACACAGGATTGGTCGTACAGGGAGGGCAGGAAAAAGTGGAATTGCGACTGCTTTCTTCAATGACAACAACTCTTCGATGGCAAAGTCTCTAGCTGACCTAATGCAAGAATCTAATCAGGAGGTACCTGCGTGGCTAACTCGCTATGCAGCTCGCCCATCCTATGGTGGTGGTGGTGGAAGGAACAGACGTGGTGCTGGAGGTGGGAGCCGCTTTGGTGGCCGTGACTTCCGTAGGGAATCTTCTTCCTTTGACAAGGGTGGTGGCGCCAGTGACTATGCTGGAGGCAGCAGCTACGGGGGCGGTGGCTATGGTGGTGCTGGAGCTCCCAGTGCATGGGATTAATGCTGCAGTTGTTCGCGTAGGGTCTATCAAGTTAGGTTGCTTTTACTCTACCTTCTTATTAGATATACATTTTTGGTAGGAGCTGATATACAGCGACAGTACGAGTGAACTGTGTGCTCCCCTTTTCTTCTGGTTACAACCAAGGTAGTCTTATCTTCAGATATCTGTTATGGAGAGCATCTTGAGGACTTTCAAGCACACACCGAGGTTCGCAGTTAGGAATAGGATTTGTAGAGACTGAAATTCCTTGTTAGGGGTAATAGTAGCTGGTGTTGGTAGACTGACATTTAGCGCTTAATGTGGAATTTCTCTCTTGGCATTTCCTTGGTCTGTCTCATTTTCGGTTGGTTGTAGAGCTTGCAATGAGGGTGCTTCTGTGACTTGATTTTGGTCCGAGATTTGAGTTTTGATACCCAGGATGAGGTTGGAGGATCTGTAGTCTTTGCTCCTTCAGATCCTGTTGTAATGTGTCTACTGTGAGGTCAGGCTGGAACGAATAAGAATAAGTTATCTAGTCTTTACGAGGAAGAAGGGGCATATTATGTGATGGGTTTGTTCTGACAAGATGCATGTTGTAGATTTGTTTTGGATGGATCTAAACTACCACTCCCTCTGTAAAGAAATATAAGAGCGTTTGGATCACTAATACTTTACGGGAGATTACTCCGTAGTGTGTCTTTATCCAAATGTCTCCTGTTTTTTCTTGCTGTTGATGGCACATATTTGATGCCTTGCTCGTGTTCCTGCAGTTCAGGTAAAAAAAAACTACATGTTTGCACATTTTCATGCATTAAGAAGTGAGCTGAAACAAACATTGGATTCTAATACATATATGTAATTAGGGGTCGATTAATGAGGTGCTTTTTTTATGGAATAACATCATGGCTTGCTCTATTGGTTCGGCATAATGGTTACATCGTTTGTGGGGCAAAAAAAAAGGACAGGTGGTTCATCAACTCGGTTACAAGACACTAGTTAAATGCCCGTGTGTTGCTACGACAGATAATACACATAAAATGTGTTGCTAAGGTGGCAATGCATGTAAATAAATATAAGAGATGATTAAATGACACAAATAAATTGGTGATAAAAGTGATGGAATCATGACCTTGACCCCCACCCCTCGATCCACCTAAATAGATCTCTAACATGGTTGCACATATTTCTTTTATTTTGGGATGAATTATGCAAATGAAATATTCTAGCATGTAGTTGCAATTAGCACATAACACTAATGTCTTCCTCACTTTGCCTTCTTCCTCCCTCTCATCGACCCGACCACCTCTGTCTGTATAATCGCCCGCCACTACCAGCCCCAAAGGCACCAACACCCCCGACCAACCCTCTAAACTCCACTGCCATTTCTAATGCTGGTGACCCCGCACACTCGACGACCGGACCACCTCCACCTGCCTAATCATCTGTCTCTGCCGCCCGCCCAAGCTGCAGCCACCCTCAGCCATTCATTTAAACCCCGCCACCATCTCCAATGTCATTGACCCCGCCCACCCATCGACCCGACCACCTCCACCTTTCTAATCGTCTATCGTCGCCGCCCCGCTCAGGCCGCCGCATGTTGGGTTCTACGGTAGGGTGCGTCGGCTGCAATTAAAAAAATTCCTACGCGCAGAACAACAAAGATCATGCTAAGGGAGATGGATCATAGATCGTTACCACTAGACGCGCAGTGCCGTGCAACGGAAGAAGAGTTGGGGTAGCGCGTCCGTGTGGATCGTCTCCTCCTCATTCGATCTCCCTCGAACGACCGATCATCGGATCCCACGAACAAGTTCGCCGGAGCGGCGCAAGTGCACTGCCTATAACGGTATCCACGCGTGCAGGAGGAACACCGTGCGACGGACTGCTAGGTACGATCACACAGTCGACGACGAGTGGAGGTGGCTATTCGCAACACATGTAACCCTAGTGACATCGCCGAAGCGATCAACCAAATGAGTGTGCCGCACCCCACTATATATAGGCATCCGTCGCAGGCTCAACACTTGGGCCTCGCACGGATCCTAAAGCCCAAAGTCTGTTCGGCCTGGATCCGAGTTCGAGTAGGATCACATCCGTCTCGTGGAGTCGTGTCCAGCCTCACAGGTTCCTTCCCTTAAGCGCGCGACCCCTTAGGTTCTAGTTCACTTGGTCGCGAGTCAGATCACATCCGGCTCGTCTAGTCGGTAGCGGCCTCTAGCAAAGCGTGCTGACTCCAAGTGTTCAATGAAGCTGATTAGGCGAACCTATACAACGTTTCACACTTCTATTCCCTTTGCTACATGATATATGTTGTCAGGCTCAAGGCGAGTATGTCATCCTTGTGCTAGCCCGACCTCTTTCTCGTTCCTGTGATCTCGACCACAAAACGGATTATCTCATAATCCATGTCGCAAGGCCATGCTTATCTTGGTCGGATCACACGAGGGGCCCAGAGTATATCTCTCCTGGCCGGAGGGGCAAATCCCATCTTGCTCGACCATGTCTCGCAGCATGGGTCTCAACAAGCCTGAAACCTACCTTTGTAACTACCCAGTCATGGAGTAGCGTTTGGTCGGTCCAAAGTAGGTCTGTCACCATCCCGAGTACATGCGCCAGCTCAAGTCTTAGGACATAGAACGTATGTTGTACCAGAGACTCACTGATGACATATCGCCGCATCTCATAGTTGGGCATGTCTGACTCGGACCTTATCTCGACTCGGATATGACTATATCCAATCTGATCAAATCCATCCGAGTCTATATTATACGGTTAGCATCCAATGCTCCATGGCTAGTGAGACTGAGCCATCCACCATGTCATAGGATAGTCTAGTCGGCTGCGCGTCCACACATCCCTTTCGACTAGGGACCTTTTAGGACAGTCATCATACAATGCATAGTCCCCCAAACAAGTCACGTACTTGCTGATACACATAATTGATAATGTCCAAGGACTATCTTTATTCATAAACACATGGGAAATATCATCATACATGATTTCCTCTAGGGCTTATCGTCGCCTCGCTCAAGCTGCGGCAACCCCCAGCCATCCATCTAAGCTCCACCAGCATCTTCGATATTGATGACCCCGCGCACCCCGCACTCGAACCCGTTAACCTCGAAATCTTTGCCGGGTCTTTTCAAACTCATCTTGATAAACGTCAACGACCTCAAGCCTACTAAGCTCCAACCAAATACCCATAAATCATGTTAATCATCGATGATTTTATTTAGTCAACTAAATATGTAAGTTGAGACACAATTTTACTCTAGAAGTCTTGAACTGAGAATCGAGCATTCATGTACCTTCATGAACGTATTGTATATGTATGTATACAACATTGACAAAATCATCCTTATCAACATTCACAAGAACAAAATACATATTTGATCCTCTTACATTAGATAATGAATAAGATTGCAAAAGTATATGTGCCTCATGCTCTACAGTTTGTCTACGAGCTTATCCTTGTACTCATCTTCGACTAGTATGTGTTAAGCCGCAATAACTAACTGTCCTCCATCACCTCTTGTAAATCTCACAACCTACAATCCTTGATGCACAAAACTGACTATCACCCGGACCGGTTCTTTTCCCTCATCTCCTTTATATGGTGAGGCTTCCATGGAATGTATGAAGAATGATAAATATTCCTACAATATCATCAAAGAAACACGAAATCCGAATAAGTTTATATTGCTAAATGTGGAGCACTCTAATAGTACAAAAGAATTGTTTGCACATCAAAGGACTCCCAACATATAAATCCCAAATTATTATGACAAGAAAAAAGTATACAAGTATAGTATCTATTCAGATTGTAAAAGGAAAATAGAGCAGTGCCATTTCAAAGAAGTTCCATGCCAAATATGTTGTCCTTTTGAAATTGTCATAAAACGCAGATCACAAATATCAGCACATGGACAAATATATTGGCATATAAACATGAAATATACAAGGTCAATTATGTAGATGCAACAATACAAGAAGAGTGATTCATCATTGCATTATGGTGATTGTGCTGATGGGCAACACCGAAATATAAAAAAAGCTTATTCAAAATAAACACTTAGTATGCACCCCCATCTCAGAATAAGTGTCTCAATTTTAGTATAACTTTGTATTAAAACTAGTACAAAGTTGAGACACTTATTTTGGGACGGAGGGAGTACAAAATTCACGCCCAATATGCGATCCTATCCGAGAGGAACTCGAAGGTTCCACCAAGGATAGAGCCGCATATTGAAGATGCTTTTGCAAGGTGGATATCATTACATCATACCATTACGTGATAGATGGGGATACATACAAAAGGCATACAATGCCTCATGAAAATAATAACATCATACATAAGAGCAACATCCAACTAAGGATGAAAACACAAACAGAAACTCAAACGACATCCAGCCTGCTAGCCCAGGCTGCCGACCAGGAACCTAACCCCTGATCAAAGAAGAAGAAGAAGCAGAAGATCTCCAAAACAAGCAAACATCGCTCTCACGTCATGATCATCGCATTACCTGTACCTGCAACTATGGTTGTAGTAATCCATGAGCCACGAAGACTCAGCAATCCCATTACCATGGGTATCAAGACTAGCAAAGCTTAATGGGAATGGAATGGATAAGTGGTGAGGTTGCAGCAAGCGACTAAGCATTGTATGGTGGCTAACTTATGAGTACAAGAATAAGATGGGAAGCCACGCAAACGGTCGCAAAGTAGTAATGATCAATAAGTGATCCTGAACTACTTACGTTCAAACATAAACCCACCATGTTCTCTTCTCGAACTCACCTGAAAGAGACCATCATGGTTACACATGTAGTTGGTGTATTTTAATTCGAATCTGGTGTCAAGTTCTCTACAACCGGACATTAAAAAATTCCCATCTGCCACATAACCGTGGGCACGACTCTCGAAAGTTTAAACCCTTCATGGGTGTCCCAACTTAGCACATGACAAGCTCATGATCCGCAGAGACAATCCTCCATCATGGGACATCCGATGAGACTCGGGGT